AGGTATTAAAAAAAAAAAAAAAACAACCCACTGACAGGTAGGTTTTTATGACAGAAGAGACTCTGCCTGTCTCTTCTGTCATAATCGCTCTTCCCTGCCTGTCAGCAATTGTGTGCACTGACCCACGCATGTGCAACTCAGTGAAGGTTCTATGCTGAAAATTAAGTAATTCCCGTTTTGCCAATCTTGGAGCCCAGGCCTCCCTGGCCGCCTGGGCCCCTCACACAAACCCCCTGATGGCGGTCCTGGCCGGGGACTCAGATCGCGACCCCCCTGTTCACTTGTGGGACCCCATATGGGGTCACGACCCACACTTTAAGAAGCACTGATCTAGAGGACAAAGGCGCTGAACTCAGAAGAAGAAGGAAACACCGGCAATGCAGGAGAGTGCTGACATCGCAGCACTGGAGGTGATCGACTGCAGTGTAAGTCTGCCACAATAAGCTAATATGCTGCGCATACTAAAACAATATGGCGCCTCCAAAGGGCCCAAAATGTCCTGTTTGTGTTTGCAGTTTACTAATGTTTAAAGCAGAACTCCAGGCAAATCGAAACTGAACCCTTGCAGTGGGGCTACCCCCGCACTACAAGGGTTAAGTGCTTGTTTTTTCCAAGGAATCAAAAAAAGTTACACTCACCCAAACTGCAATACCGCCTTGTTCTTAGACTAGTCCCTTCAGCCTCGCTCCCTCTACGCTCCAGCGGTCTAAGGTCCTGTGAGTCATCACATCCTATACAGTGTATAGAAAGTGAGAATGCCGGGGGACATTCCATCGATGGAGAAGAGGAGGAGCCAGGAGACAGGCTGGAGGGAACGATGTAGGAGCCAGCCAAGATCGCAGTCCGGGTGAGTATATCTGTGTTATTTTAGCCCCCCAGACAAAATAAGCACTTAACCCTTGCAGTGCGGGGGAAGCCCCACTGCAAGGGTTAATATTTACTTTGCCTGGAGTTCTGCTTTAAGTGTTAAGTGTCATCTATATGCAATACTTAATGGTTCCAAAGAGTAGCACAGCCATCCTCCTCTGCACTACTCATAAAACAGACATTTAATCAGCAAAATTGGACCAATGGACTTAAAAGAGCTGCAGAAAATGTAAGACAGTAAAGAAAATCTATTCAATGGAGAAAGAAAAAAAAGACACCAGCACTTTTCATAATATCAGGTTGTACAAACCGGACATTTCAG